TAGCCACTGCATCACTGGCACTGGCCTCACCTTGTTGGGTTCACATGTATTACGTTCTGTCTGAATTAATGTCTTAGCTATGGGCTACCTACAACTGGGAGGACAGAACTAAACAAGGTAGTTTCCAGAGTAGTCTAATTCACAAGTCATCTACTGTCTTTCTTTTTTTGGTACACGCCCCTAGCGGGAACCGAACCGGGACTCTCTGGTCCGCAGACTGACGCGCCAACTGCTGAGCCGAACTGGCCATCTACTTTCTAAAAGGTCAGAGTTTGTTAAAGAATATGTCAGGGTTGCCCTGACCGGTTTGGCTCAGCGGGTAGAGCATCGGCCTGCGGACCAGAGAGTCACAGGTTCAGTTCCTGCTAAGGGCATGTACCTCGGTTGCAGTTTGTCCCCAGCCACGTTTGGGGTCGTGTAAGTGGCAGCCAGTCAATGTGTCTCTCTCACATCGATGTTTCTCTCTCTCTCTCTCTTCTTCTCTCTCTCCCTCCCACTCTATCTGAAGATAAATGCAAAAATGTCCTCAGGAGAGAATTAAAAAAAAAAAAAAATGTCAGGGTTATTACCTTAACGGTGTCAATAGAAAGGCAAACAAACAGGGAAAATATCTCCTATTTGCCACTATATGAGCATTATACTAGTCAACACACATAGTAGCAATTATTAGTATATCTGATTAACTCATTATTACCAACTGTTAAAATGTGCTAAGTACGGAATGAGAACAAGTGAAAGTAAAACTTTCAGGAGTACAAAATGGCAAAAGAAAAAAAATTCCAGGCTATCCAAGAGCATCATCACCAGGGAGGAGAGAGGGGAGATGTAACGGAGGAAGCATCCAAGGGACCCTGTGTGTCACACAAAGAGCTTATCGTCAGCCTAGGGTAATGGAGAGGCGTCACAGGCTTTAAAATGAGGTGAAATATTTTCATCTATTATTTGACCTATTGTTTCTACTTTATGCCCAAATTTAACATTATTATGTTTCTTCAATTCCAGGGCGTTCTTCATATGTACTTGAGATATATCTGCCAGCTATATAGTCATTTGAAATGAGCTCCGTATTGTTTCACACAGTGTATGTGTTATAGGTGTTCCAGACACTTGACTACTTGCCTGCCTGTTAGGGATTAAGAATTCTCCCTCTTCCATTTATTCACTACACATTTACTTAATACATACTATATAACATGCCACATATAACACTAGACTCTTGATAAAACTTTAGAAGTGCATCCTATATATACAAATAATATGCCTAGCACTATAAGATGTACCTTCTGTTCATATAAATTAGTTTCATAAAATGTATTATCAATAGATCTATTTTTCCACACCACTCTTTTAGATGGTGATAGAAACTTTGGTATTTTTCTTTAAATGATTACCCCTTTAAACTGGTCAATAAAAAATAAAAAAAATTTAAGCTGGTAAAAGGGTTTCAAAAACACGGAGAGTTCGGCGAGCGGGAAGCGAACAGAATGAAGCAGGAACGGCCCAGCGAAGTGCCCTATCATTAAAGTCTGCAGCACGAAGCACCTTCCGGAAACACGAGAAGGCTGGATGCCACCGACATAACTCTCCAGGAAGCCTCCCTGTAAGGGTATCAATGCATCACAGCAGTTATTTCAAAAGTGGGTTCCTTCTCTCCCTACAGTTTAAAATCATCACCGCCTGTCCTTCACTGGGGTCATTTCGGGGTTGTTTTCATCTTTGCTCCTGTTTTTCTCTTTTTCTTATCGGTGAACTCTCTTCAGCACTCTTTAGATAAGCCAAGTAATTTCTTTAGAGTGGGCTAGGACTGGCAAGAAGAAAAAGGGGAAGATAACGTACGGGTGGGTGCGAGCCTAGGCTCCCAGGCTTGGGCTCCCTTCCCTGATGTCCTTTGCTCACTGGGAGGCAGTGAGGCCTCTGGGGATTGGTGACCTGTCCCACTCCATCAGAATGCGTCTGTGGAACCCTAAAAACTCTGGGCTCTTCCAGTCAGTGGGGGAGGAGAGCGGCCAAGGTGTGAAGATTTTGTCAAGGTGGCAAAATACTTTTTTTTTTAAATCCTTATCCGAGAACATTTTTGGATTTATCTTCAGATAGAGCGGGAGGGTGAGAGGGAGAAAGAGAGAGAGAGAAACATTGATGTGAGAGAGACACATGGAGTGGCTGCCTCCCACATGACCCCAACTGGGGCAGGGGACAAAGTGCAACTGAGGTACGTGCCCTTAGCGGGAACCAAACCCGGGGCTCTCCGGTCCACAGGCCGAGGCTCTGATCACTGAGCAACCGGCCAGGGTGCAAAAGACTTTTAAAAGCTCTTACTTCTGCCCTAGCCAGTTTGGCTCAGCAGCTGGAGCGCTAGCCCCCAGACCAAAGGGTTTTGAGTTCGATTCTGAGGTCTCTCACCTTGATGTTTCTGTTTCTCCCTCTCTCTATGCCATCTCTCTAAAAACTAAAAATAAAAAAATGGAAAAATATCCTCAGGTGAGGATTAACAAAAAAGAAATTATAGCGCTCACTTCCGAGTGGCATGCGTCTTTTATTCTTGCACACCTTCACCTGCTTCACTCTGGGCTTCCCCTGGGTGGCTTTCTCCCTGCTGTGGCACAGCTTCTCCGGAGCAAACTCTCACCCTGGAAGCTCGGTTACTTCGTCATCTTCTGTGGCCCCTTCTGGCCAGAATGTTAAGACCTCAAAGACTATAGAGTGGGCTCTACAATGTATTTTATGAAGACTCTTCTTTCACTCAATTTTTTATCCACTCGTTTATTGATCCATTCCTGGGTGGGGTAGAAGCAGAGCTGGGTGGGACAAGGTCCTTGTCCCAGGCAAATGACAACATTGGAGGAAAGGCCAACATTATAAATATCTTACAGCAAGAATTTTAAAAAGGTAATGTCAACGGCAATCAGAGCTGATCGCGCTAACCACAGTCTATGAATTAAACATCTGGTGTTTTTCCAGGTAAAATGTAAAACTGTAGTTATCATCTCCTGTTGATTTTTTGAGATACTCTCCTGGAGCCTCTATTCAGAGGTCAACAGCTAGCACTGCTTTAGGTGCTGAGCTTTAGGATTTGTTATAAATATGCTATTAGTTTCTGCACTCTTACAATTAATTAAACTGCTGGATTTATTCCAAGAGGTATTTGGTTAGTCATCTCAGAGCTGGTAAAATATTTTTTCCCCTGTGTTTACTCCTTACCTGAACGTCTCTGACTCTCCTACTACAGTTCTCTTGATCCCCGACAAAACTGTTTATTGACTATATATTGGTAGGGCTTAATTCCCTGCCTACCCACCACATATCTAGCTCATGTCCTGGGATTCATGATGTATGTCTCATTTCTACTGCAAACACAGTAAGACTACAGTAGTCTCAGCGTATTTGATTTTTAGAGATAATCACTTGCTTTTCAAGTGTGAAATCAAAGAGTAAAGTAAAAATTGACAAGCCTGCAACTTATTTTTATTTTTATTTATTTATTTTTTATTATTATTATTATTTTTTATCCTCACCCGAGGACATTTCCCCATTTTTTGTACAGATAGAGTGGGAGGGAGAGAGAGGAAGAGACAGAGAGAGAGAAACATCGATGTGAAAGGGACACATCGAGTGGCTGCCACCGCACGACCAACCAGGGCCGGGGACAAACTGCAACCGAAGTACGTGCCCTTAGCGGGAACCGAACCCAGGTCTCTCTGGACCGCAGGCCGACGCTCTAACCGCTGAGCCAAACCGGCCAGGGCCTGCAACTTATTTTTAAATAGCAAATCATAATTGCCCCCCACTGTCCAAAGTGCCAAAGTTAACATATAAATCATATACTTTTATTTAAAAATCTGGCTAGGAAAATGTAAATAACAAAACTGAAATTGCTAAATTTCTTCATGACATATTTATAATTAACAATCAGATTGCTATCAACTCTGTTTTCAGAATTTCTAAACTACATTGTTGATATTAGGGAGGCTTTCAAGCAACAACCTTAACAAGTATAGGTCTCAAATCAAATCAACAGAAACAACCTTTGAATATTCATTTGCATTTATGCATTAAATTTCAGCAACTACACTCACTCTTAAATTTGGGGAATGTTATTTTTCTGCATAAACTAACTGCGAAGCATACAGCTGATTAAAAATATGTGACTTGTTTTTATACTTTGCAAATGACTTTCCAACAGCACTTATTAAATTTCTTATCCATAACTGTAGGCCTAATAGAATTATTTTATTCTGTACATTATAGTTATGATCCTAGCATGCGCTTGCTCATTTAAGTGACCGCTCCCTGTCCATAGTCACTGCTCCTGTTTATTGTGGCATTTGCCATCGGGTACCACGGTTACTTGTGCACACGTCCATTGTTCTAGTTTAATGGTAAGCTTCTTGAAGGGAGGCATCCTGATCCATGGAAGGTGTAAAAATAAAATCAGGGATCTCACATTATTACAACTCCCCTTTTCACACTGATTCCAAGAGAAGCAAATGGAAGACTACCAACCTCCGTGTCTCTCTGATTCCATTCACCCCTCCCCCACCTGTCTTTTGACAGAGGGATAAAATTTCTAACATCCTCAAACTTACAGCACAGTATCCTTGCTGACAGGGCCAACAGCCAGCGCGGAGGTAACGCGAGGTTCACTGATGGCTGTAAAATTACTGCATCTTTTAGCAGCCCTGAACTAGACAAGGCTTTAAATGGAGGGACTGAGGCAAATGTATGCAACTGAGGGCTGCAGAAAAGAAACAAAGAACTGGGACAAGATGGCAAGTACTGGAAAAGCTGGGCAACGGTAACGAACGGTGAGGATGCAAAACAAGACGTGCAGATGGACAAAGAAGGGAATTGAAACTCTCGGTCCACTCCTGGTGACGTGGGACCACACACACAAAAGAGGTGGAAGTGGTTTTAAACGCAGCTCATGTGGTGATGCGGAGGCTGCCACCCTGTGGGGGTGGGCTTGTGTCGTGGCAGCATGGAAAGGGGGTGCCTTTCCTTACCTCCAGGTGCTCTAAGATATAGGGCGGATTCGTCATGCCAAGCCTCAGCATCGCTCCCTCGGGAATCACTTCGACCAGTTTCCACAGCAGTGCGGGGAGATCAGTGCCAATATCTCTGCCATACGCTCCCGTGTCTTCACTGGTCAACCATATCTCACACACACCCTCTGTGAATCAAAGGAGATAATTAACAAATCTGTCGCAGAGCTGTTGCCTTCGACATACAGCTGCTCACTCTTTAATGCACCATTTCTCAGCATTAGTATGCGGGCGGCCTGGGTATTCAATTGCAGAGAAAAAGCAGCTTATCCCATGGTGGCACTGGGTTATTAAGTTCATTTTATGAACAGCAGAGAGTGACAGAACGCTGTAAATTATCAGTGCATCCTATGGAGTGATTAACATTCAGCGCCGATCAGTTCAACCGTGTTTTCTCAGAAGCACTTGGGCTAAGCGGTAGTCCCATCCCGGAGAATACCTGTTTTACTGAACACCCCGAGCCCCGGAACTGACCGCTCCCTCTACAGAATAGGTACGATTAGCACTTAACTCACCAATTGGTCTGTCACCAACCCAAGGAAAATTGTTGAGTGTGGTTAAGGTTTAACTCACAAATTATTAATTATAGGATATCCATTTCTCCTGTAGTAACTACCCTCATTTGTCTTCTTCAGTCAGTTAAGAATAGAGTGTGTGGTAGGGCTTTGTTCAAACAAGTTGGTTGCTGTATAAGTGTTGGTGTTGGAAACCTGTCCGACGACAGCATGCACCCTGTTTTCCATCAATCAGACCTTAGGAAAATGTATATACATGTGTTGTTGCTATTGTTGTTATAAACAATCCTGACTTCAAATATTACAGCCTACAATGACTTCCTTCCAAAAATGGAAAGGAACAATTTTTAGATAACCTAGGATTATATTTTTTTAGCCTCGCCCGAGGTCATTTTTCCATTTTTTGTTCAGATAGAGCAGGAGGGAGAGAGAAGGAGAGAGAGAGAGAGAGAGAGAAACATCGACGTGAAGGGACACATCGAGTGGCTGCCACCCGCACGACCAACCAGGGCCGGGGACAAACTGCAACCGAAGTATGTGCCCTTAGCGGGAACCGATCCCGGGTCTCTCTGTACCGCAGGCCGACGCGCCAACCGCTGAGCCAAACCGGCCAGGGCAGATAACCTAGGATTATTTAAGATGAATAAAATAGTTAGCAAGAGCCACACAGGTTTGCATGGCGCACAGAGCTTCTGAACACACACTCCAGGAAAGGACTGGCCTCCTTTCAAAGGCCGAATGATTCGAAGAGCTCAACAGACAATATAATGGGCCCGTGACTGTGTCCACGCTGAAGTGACCTGTTGCTTCTGAAGCCCCTCAACACACCCACAAGGCACACAAAGGAAGCCTGCAGCCCGAACCAGAAGTATACGTTTCTGAAAAGAATCTTAAAATTAGAATTTTAAATTGTCTTTAAAGTTGAAGGAATAGAAGAGTTTCAAAAATATATTTAACTATCCCTTGCCAAGAGAGACAACAAATAAACCACGTGCCTTTCTGTGCGTGTGAACTGAAAAGCACGGACACAGAAGCGAACGCAGAGCTGTGCCCGCCCCTTCACGTGTCCAGAGCTGGGGAAACACACATGAAGGTCGGCGCTCCAGTCACTATTCTTTCCTTTTGAATAAGAGAGGGATTCACTTCATCAAAACACTAGCCAACCCACACAGAAACATGTCCTCTTCACCCGCTTGTCCTTCTGAGACAGGCACATCCTCACCCTCACCCTCACCTAACAACGCAGAAAACACAAGGACAGAAATAGGACCTTCGTTTCCTGAAATTAGAGTCAATGACTTAGCATAGAAAACAGGAGATAACCAAAACAACAACAACAAAAACCCTCCATTTAAGAAGTTGGAGATGTTTTTAGTATTTGAAAAGCAGTAGTGTTATGGATATGTGGGTTTTCTTAGTTTAAATGAAATATGGAGCTCCAGAAATTAATAAACCTTTGTTGAGTTGTAATCACTTCAGGAAAAAAAATTGTATACTCAAAAGAAACAGTCTATCATGTTTATAGGCTCCCTGTGTAGTCTTATAATTTTATAAATATTCTCTGCCTATGCAGTAAATATTGTTCTGTTTTAAAAAGGGGTTGCAATTAGTGGCATCATCTTTATTTTAATATCACATATGCCATCTGACATTGGACTCATACAACCTTTTTTTCTTTTAAATCTTATCACAAAATCCACTCCAGGAAAAGAGATGGCTAAGTAACAACATAAACAGATTTTAAAACACTCTGAAAGAGGTTATAAAAACAGGACATTATCCATGATTTTCCAGTTACTGGCATTTGAGCAACATAATATGAATATTTTAAAATGAACAGAATAATTTTAATTTATAATTTTTCCATCCAAATGGTTCCACGTTACGCCTTATGTAGAGAGAGCAAGTTCCTGGAACAGTGCCTTGCTGTTGCTAGATGAATATAGAAGGGGAAAATTCACTGTGAATAGGAATGGAAATAACATCCGAGCAGAAACAGCAGCCAGCTCTGAAGCTGCAGAGGTGGGGACCAATAGCCCCCTGGTGGGCTGAAACTTCAAATTAAATCACAGAAAGAGGAAGCAGCTGTAACACTAAATCAGCAACAACAGGAATAATGGTCTTGATGTCTCCAAGATCAAGGCTGCTAAAGTGCTCCAGATAATAGCAACCTGGCTTAAAACACCACGAAATGGGAGACCGTGTGCACAACGGGAAACCCGCGGACTTCAGGAGAGTTGTGCCTGGCCGGTTCAATCCAAAAATTTGTCAAAGATGATTTGGCTCTTAATCCATGTGAGAAAGTTTCAGATTTTTGTAAGGTTATATTTCAAGCAGGAATTCTAATGAGAGTTGATCCCTCAAACAGTTAGGATATAGAAAGTCATTTCATACTAAAGGTGAAGCTAAATATGGAACCCCCACGCCTGACATCCTTTTTCCTGGGAAGGCTTGTGATTACTCATAGGGCAGGCAGTTCCTGTCAGGTCAGCCTGCATATGAATTCACCAGGGAAACCGAAGGCTGCAGTGTGTAATCACTAATGGATACCGGGACACAGGCAGGCTTCTAGCTGCACATTTAATTGGCTATACTTATGGACAGAAGTGCTTGCCTAAACAGCTTCATTCCTTAAGGACTTCTGTTATGAGCTCTATTCCTTTGCATAGTCATTTCTTTATTCGTCCATCAGACATTTATTAGGCCTTTACCTACCATGTGCCCTGCAGCAATTCCAGCGCGAGACAGATATGGATTCATCATTAAACCTCTGTGATCTAAGACTGGCTGTTATCCAAGAGCTGGCAAGGGGACAGTGACAGACATCCTGGGAACTTCACATCCGTCCCTCACGGTGGTGGTGGAGGGGGTAGGTGTGGAAGAACACAGCCTTAGAAACCAAAATGAAGGGCCAACTAGGCAGGCTGGAAGTGGATGTGACATCAGCCCCAACGAGATAGGCCCCGTCTGCAATATAATGCGGACTTTGATTAATACATGTCAGAAAAACAAACACATGGAAATGAAAAAGAGAAGCAAGCAGGAAGAACTGAGATAAGAGAAGTGAATGCCCAGTAAAACCTCCCATGCCTGTAAAAATAAATACATGCAAAAAAAGAAAGCAGTGGAAAAATGGGAAACAAACAAAAAAAAATTCACTTTTTTTAAAGCATTCAAGGAGAAATTTTACTTTCTCTTAAAACTGTCCATCTACCTGACTTTGCTCATTTTCCTTAAATTGTTCAGTCTATCTGTCTTCTAAGGAACCTTAGGTTCATCAGATCCTCTATACTTTTGTTGTGTTAATTTTGGTAAAAAGAAAAGCAAATACTAGGAAGAAATAAAAGGCATCTTGCAAGGTAAAAAAAAAAAACAAAAAAAAACTTTAAAAAGTTTAGTTATTAGAATCCATTATCATTTTACCCACGTAATTACTGATCAGCCTATAGCTGAAACACATGACTATTTTTCCCCTGAACAGAGAGCAACCTCAACAGCTGGATTCTGATCTTTGCTCCATAGCAATTTGAGATGACAGAGGATGGAAAAAGTAGGAGACATAAAAGATAATGTTCTCAATAAAATAGTCTCACAACAAAGAACATCTTTTTTGAAAAATCAAACTTTGCCAAAACTCAATTTCAAAAGATTATGATTCACTATAATTTTCCTGTGTATGAGCTTCATTGTAATAAATTAAAATACGGGTAAAGATTGATTTCATCTGGTCTGAGAAGTGGTATTTCTCTGGTAGCTCTTGCTCTATCGTGGGGGAAAACTTTCCACCCTGATAAGTTGTTTCAAATATTCCATTATGAGTAGACTGTCTAAAAGTAAGGATTACAAAAATATGAAAACTATCAACTATGATTAATGGGATAAGTAATTAAAGAGCACTAGATGGTAAGAAAGTCTACATCAGGTAAACATAATAAAGAAAATCACCTCAGAGTCGGCTAAATCCTCTTCCTCGGAAGATGTGCTCACTCCCCTACTCCTGCCTTGGCTCCTCTGCCAGCCTTCCCTTCCTCCTCTCAACTCCGGCGCCTACTCTTTCTCCGCCATCCCATTCCAGCCCTCGTGCTCCACGTTCTTCAACGGCTAATAAGAAATATAAATTCAGTCCGGCCGGTGTGGCTCAGCGGTTGAGCGTTGACCCATGCACCAAGAGGTCACCAGTTCGATTCCCGGTCAAGGCACATGCTCAGGTTGTGGGCCAAATCCCCAGTGGGGGCGTGCAGGAGGGGGCCAATTGAAGTTTCTCTCTCTCTATCCCTCTCCCTTTCTCTCTCTCTTAAATCAATAAAAAAAAAAAAAAAAAAAAAAAAGAAATATAAATTCAATACATTATGTTTTATCTATGTGTGTGCATTAATTTCTTGGCTCTCAATTCCTGACACTTTTTTAAAGGGTCACAGTGCATATTAACTAGATTTTTACAGGCTCATTAAGAAAAAAATAATCGTAGAAAATTCAGAAATAAATAGGGCCCTTTGTTGGAACACTTGAAAGGTCATGAAAATGTGTTCAATGGAGATGTTTCTAAGTAATAATATATATAGGCAGTTTCTAGTTATTCAGCTTATTTACTTAACAGCAGATTAGACAATATA